CGCTCCCTCCCTCCCTCCCTCCCTCCCTCCCTCCGTGCTGTCCCACGAGTGAGTGTGGCTGCATCCGTGAAGCCAGACGCGGTGTATTGTCGCCCGAACCATGTCACATGTCAGGATTTTGACCCCGGTTTTCATGTAGGCACCCGCGTCGCCATGAGATTCATACAAACACACACCCCCGCTGTGTCTCGGCATTTTTTTTCCCGAACCGGCAAGACAGCAGTAGTAGTCTGTGGGAGATAAAGTTAACGAATCTTTTTACGTCAGACTGAAATCTCTTGTTTCTGTCGCCGTAGGCGTAAGAACAGAACAAACCAATTGATTCCCTCTTCGGGAAAATAATCGATTGTTCTTCGCATTGAAAACCGTTCCCGCCTCTGCTCGGTGCCTTCTTACATCCGTACTACTGGTGGTCCAACTCACTCGGACGCCTCCCGTGGTCCCAGGCCAACTACCCATAAAGGGTACACAATTCAATGCATATGAAATAGTAAGGAACCAGACCACATACCGGAAAAAAATGTAAAGCCCCCAACCAAAAGGCAATCACATACTTATCATACTCCGTAGAAAACTTCACACAACAGATCAGTGGCACACATGTCCTTGGCCGCAGCAGCGCATCACTACTGGCGACGACTTGTTCACTGTTTTACAGCCGGAAATATATTTGAACATCTCTCAACGTACACACATCTATCTTTTCTGTCAACCATACACACATACGCATGTCTCCCATGCCACCGAGAAGAACAAGTGTAACCGGTTTCGTTGCTGCCTGGTTCGCAAAAAAAGCAAGCCCGCCTGGTTCTCGTACTCTAGAAAGCACACACTATGAAAGTGGAGCCACGAGCAAGCGCAACAAGCAAGTGAAGTGAGTCGCTGCAATACACACACACGCGCTAAAGTTGCCACTTGATTCACACCTCTGCACCCAGCGCAGGCCCGAAACGCAGCGCTTTCAACCTAGGTGTGGGCGCTATTTAGAGTGACTCGATCGAAAACATAACGCAATAATACAAGGATGTCGCACTTGGATTAACCACCTCGTGCCGCCAAAATGTACCCAGCTTCACCGCAATTCAACACTCTTGATAGATACAAACGGCTGGCCAGGATCGACGTTACCTCGAGAAGAAGCTATCATACTACACTGTAACGGTACGCGTAAGGGTCAAGGATGCGTGGCGGTGGTGGTCATGCGATGCACCACCCACCACCCACAAACCCATCCACCCCGGCCCAATCAACGCACAGCAACTTACAACGACAAAAACCGTCAAGGAACACATTGCGGTAACTCGTCACCATGACAGGCGGTTGTATAGTGGCGTCTAGCGGCATGCCTGGCTACTATAACCGGAGCCGCGGGCGCGCCGCGGGGGGGTAAGTCATGCCCGTTGTGGGGATTCCACGGCTTGCTTGGCCGATCGGTTCGCGTCCGATTGTTGCTGGCCTTGCATGTCGAGGAACCCTAGGGGAAAAACGCGGTGCAATAATAGGATAGTCGCAACAGCAGCAGCAGCAGCAGCAGCAGCAGGGCAAGAAGACACAGAAAGGTTGAGGTACGTACGTACCACGTGTCCGCGTTCAATCAAACAATACGGCCGCTCGCAAGAGCCTGAGAGGCTGCAAGGTTTTCTCAACTGCCACCCTACCTCAAATCGAAGGCATTGTTGCGAACCTGATCCATGCATCCATGATTCCCACGCGTCTGTCAATGTCAAAAGAAGGAACCAATCGTCCTCGATAGACGTCGTCGAGACGCCATATCCACCGCATCTTTTTTACATTGTAGGGAAACTTATTCTCGTTTGCTAAATTACCACAGGCAAGAAGAAGGCTTTCACAATACATGTAGGGGTAACCCCTGACAACTAACAGCTCCAAAACTACCTTCCCACATCTACAAACGAGGACCGCGCTCACCTCCTGTTCCGAGCTCGATGTCATCTTCGACGTCCGCGTACTGCTGCTGGATGCGCTCCAATACGTGGTCCTCTGGCGACCAGAAGCCCCTCCCCTTCGCCTCCAGCATGCGCTTGAGAATGTTCTGGTAAGCTTCCGGGTTGGCCTTCCTTAGCTTTGCCGCCATGTCGTCATCGAGGGCATACCTGTGAGCAGTCCAGAGAGAGAGAGGCGGTTGGTTGCGCATGGACGGGGGAGGGAGCGTGAGAGAGTGGGTCTCGAGTGATGACATCTGTTGTACTGCTGGGTGAAAATGAGAACCCAACTTACTTTCGTGTCGGCGGAGGTGGGAGGTCGACATTTGTCGCGTCATAACGGTCGCGTGGCTTGCTCCCGTTTCGTCCGGATCGCCGGTCTCAAAAAGACACCCAACCAAGTTTCTCTACAGGTGGGCACCACTGCAAGACACAAAACGTGATGAGCGAAAAAAATCGTCCGGCACCGGCAGCGGAATACATGTAACGGGGAACACAACGAAAGCGCCGCGGTGTTTCGGTCACGGCTCCAAATGAAACCGCCCATAGCGGTATTCTGTAGAAAAATTACATTAAAACACAGAAAGACTACACGTGTCCCCGTTCGGGAACTAACCACAGTCAAATTTTTTCTTGTGTTCTGTTTTCGTGCGTGCGTTTCGCGTCCAGTCTCACGTGTCAGCCGCACCGTCGTAGACCCACTCATCCGTGAACCCGCTGGTTCCGGACCAGCCAATGAGCGCCGTCATTCGCTGAGAAATTTCGTACGCCCCTCCGCTGCCCTGCCTCGGTAGCAGCGAGCGAGCAGGCGCAAAGGCGGGGGTCAGGGAAATCAAAAGGGCCGCCGTTTGTACATGGAGACAGAATATTGCCAGGGGAGAGCTTTGCTGCGCAGTTTTTTTTTGTTCTATGGGACTGACTCAACAAGCTTTGCTGTGGATTGCGAGGCGCGTGTCTCGGGTTAGGGTGTTGGGGGGGAGGTATGGCCTACTGCCTTTCTTCAAACTGCGCCATGACATATAAAGAAGGGGTGCACGTCCGACGCCAAGAAACATGGTCAGTTTACGGGGAGGGGGTGAGGCCCGCGCTTCACGGCGTTGGGCCGAAGCGGAACCTAAACTCATATGGCAGGTATCTGACACTTTAGCGTGTTTCGGTCAGTTCCTGCCAGGTGTTGCACGAATGAAATGGACTGGCTGGGATCTACATGAGCAATAGACACTCATGTGGTATCCACGGGATCTACTTCATCAGCCATGGACATGGACGTACACACGGCCATCCACCGTAACGTTTCTTTCCCAACCGTGCTCGGCGGCTCGAACCACCAGCAAATCACCTGACGCCACCTCACCTGGTTGGACATAGCCTCCGCCCACTTTGGATTCAGGAGCTTGCTCCGGTACTCGATCCTCAGCGTAGCCTCCAGCTCCCTCGGGGCAACCTCCTTCCCGTAGGCCTCCACGATACTCACGCCCACTCTCCTCGCCGGCTGCTGCCCATCAGGGTCGGCGTCCTTGGCTTGCCGGCTCTCGGCGGCCTTCTTGAGCGCACCCGTGTTAGCGTAGTACTCCTGGATGTCCGTGAGCCCGTACTCCACCGAGTCGACCTCTTGGACGATGCGTTCCGTGCTTCCCAGCAGACTCTGCGAAATTCCCGCACACACGGAAGCGGTGTATGATTTTCGGGGGGAGAGGGAGGCATGAGCCGACAGGGTTTTTTCAACGAGCATAACGAAAATTGTTGACGAATGTGTTGCGAGATATGCTATGTGATTCTAGCAGTCGACGTTAACGTCGATTCCCCTCGCTAAGAAGCCCCACGCCCCACCGCCCGCCCTCCTGATTCACTTCGGCCACCTAACGGAATAATCTGCCATCGCATCGAGTATCTCATCCATCGCAAAAGATAGCACCTGTAAAACCTCAGGTCGCGCCTGTCCCCGCTCCCCGCCTCTGCCGTAGGAGAAGGCGTTTCGATCTTGCCACGTCTGGCCAAGGGCATCGCCGTCCTCCCAGTCTCCGGTCCCAACCTTTTCCCGACAAAAGGGAAAAAAAACAGAATAGTGTGCGCACAGCCGACATGAACAAAAGAAAAATACATACCAGTACAACTATTTACTTTTCTATGTTTCGCAAGCGAAAGGAAAGCAAGCAAGCACGCAGCAAACACCACAGCGGCAAATCCGAAACAATCAGGAAAGTGAGAGTGGTTTTGCACGTCTGTGGCGTCATTGGGACGGCCGGCTGACACATTTGCAGGCGGTGTATCTGCGGCAGAAACACATACTTTCTGTGTAGACCAGTGTACAACGCGCCCGTGTTAGGACACTTTAGGCCACCAGTCAACCAAAGCGGTTCCGACCCCATTCAATCTAAAACCCAAAAAAAAATAAAACCTACTACATCCAACCGAGCTCACCCTTTCGTTGACCATTGACCCGAAATCTCCGGCAGGATTGCTGAACAGTCTGGCCGCGGGTCGCTCTACCCCCTGGGTGGCCAGCTCCAGCGTGTGCTTGCGGATAAAGTTCATCTCGATCGGCTCGTCCTACAGCAGTATTAATACATAGTTGTATTGTTTTCCAAGCCACGCAACGCGGGAGGAATGAACGAATTAAATGAGCAAGTCGACTCGAGGCTCAAGTTTTGCAGAGCGTGCTTTCCCTGGCCGGCAGCAATTACCTCCTGCGCTAGAATAGGCATGTCTGTCGGTACGCCTATCGCATGGATGTATTTGTATTTGTATGTCTGCATAAGTTGTTGCCTCGCGTACGCACCGCGGCCGCCGCCGTCTCAAAGAGGTCGTCCAGGAGGTCAACGACGTTGGCGAAGCTGTCTCTGAATATCCCGGACAAGCTCGCGAGGACGTCGATTCGAGGCCGCTTCAGCTCTGAGAGAGGCACCAGCTCGTACCTGGCGTGACGAAACGAATACGGTAACCCGCCCAGAATGTGGGACGGGACGGGGAATCATCAAAAGCAAGGCAAAACACTCTCTCTCGACAAACGAACGAGGGAGAATGTCATCGTTCGCCAGGAACGGCGGGTAACGATAGGCTTGTGGTTTACTTCTTGAGGCAACGGGCCGGCGGGAGGAGAATACCCCACCCACCCCCGCGACAACAAAATATAGCGTGTAGTGTGGATGCCCCGCTTGCCGGACCGTAACAACGGCAGACCGTCTATTTCTTCTTCACAGAGAAACCAAGGAGCAGCATTGGCTCCTTGACCGGCCACGAGAAAATCAGAACACACGCTCAGAACACTAAATCTCAACGGGAAGCGGTATAAAATGCTATTGTTGCCAACACTCCTTATTTATCTTGCTTTGCGTGACGCAACAGCGCCACTTTTGAGAGCACACGGCGCGACCCTTGATACCCGCCTGGACTCAGAGAGAGCCAACAACCACTATCGGTCCAACACTGACCAGCGAGCAGATCAGGAAGACTCGACTCTTCCTCACTTCACGGCGGTTGAAAGTCAGCATCACATCTAGATCCGACTCTTGTATAGCTGACCACTATAATAACTACCTAGATTAGACTCTGGTATACTTTACGACGTTTGAACACCAACAGCAACATGAGATCTAGATTGACTCTTAGTGCTTACTTGACGTTTGGACATCAACAGCAACATGTGGTAGACACGACTGACTCATGTTGCTTACTTGACAACGCGACCCGTGGCCTCCTTGACCGGCCTCGCGCCGACAAGTGCGAGCGCTATGGCAACGCTCTCTCCTCGAGTCTTGATAGCATCGAGCCCCCACCTGACAGGGAGCCCCCCGCCCCCCGCCCCCCAGACACACACGAGAGGCAACAAAAAGAGAAAAATGATATGGTAGGTAAGAAGCGAGCGAGAGCAGAGAGGTCTCGTGTCGCTTGACCATCATAAATTAGATATAGATAGACTACCTGCCGTCCTTTACGCTCGAAGCTCGAGGCATGGTGCGAGATATGATGAAACCCCGAGCACTCTCGTCGGCAATCATGGGCCTTCCATAGGGTGGTCTATAACAGGGCGGTGGCCATCTACTTATTTAATTATTGGTGAAATCTGTTACCACAGAAGAAATAGAAAGAACAACCAACTGTTTGTCTAGGTAGTGCCTTGAATAGGTTCGGCGCGCTACAATGCATGGCGACTCGGCCTGCCACACACCCGCCCAATAGAGGGTACACTACTGCATGCGGCATGTGCTTGAAAGGAAGCACTCACATCATCACCGCCACCGTTTCGGGGAAGTCTCCGGTGTCCGCCACGTGCGCCTCGAGGATGAGCCTCGCTGCTTCCGATCCGCGAATCCATGCCGCTGGCGACGGCATGCGGTACTGCGTACCATTGTTTTCGGGGATTAAGGCCGTGGACACGCACGATTTGACATACGACAAAATAAACAAAATAAATAAGGTGGTGTTGGGAGTACCAACAAGATGCCGGGCAGACACGCTACGTGAGCTAGCTTTTCGTACCACAAGAAGTCCTACTTTTCAACGAACGTAGACAGATGTGAAGTCTAATGTGTACGTCAACCCGACACTAAAGGCCGCTATAAACAGATACCGACAACACGTTGCTGCTGTTGAATGATAGCTCTCCTTCCCACCGCTTCGTACTGTAGGCCACAATAACGAAAACTAGCAGTTGATAATGAACGAGCCGTGATATAATGACATGCGGCACGAATCACACACGCACCGGATCCAAAGCGTGCATGTTTCGACCGGTGGGGAGAACTCCCGCGCCATCTCGGAGGAGGTCACCTGCCATTAGTTACACCGTTAGTGATACGGGCGATACGGGCGGGTGGTAGGGTTTGGGTGGGGGTGGGGTGGCGGCAAGACATCGACATTGACAAAGTTATTGATTTCGGGCAAGGCACGAAAAGGGGGAGCCAGAACAACGAGAAAACGGGCCAAGGCACAGTCACTAAAATCACACACACACACAAGAAAAGAAGAAGAAGGCGAGAAAGAGCTGATGTCACTGTCGCTGGTTCGACGGCGACGGATAACTCGAAAGCAGGACAAGAACGAAACAACCCGATAGCCTACACTCGTACCGCCGGCAGCCTACCCTCGTATGCGTATTTATGCAATAAAATGCTGAGGATATTTCGAAAGGGTCCGAGCGCCTTATCGAGAGAGCGTAGGAACGCTGCAAGAGCTGAAGCGAGCCGTGGGTGAACGAAAGCACGCACAACAAACTTACGGCACAACGAATGGCCCCCGCAACACACAGAGGACACGTTTCCGTGTCCCGAAACGACTCTCACCCCCGACTCCCGGCTTGATGTACGACCCCTCCAGCGCCCTCAACAGATTGTCGACTTCGTCAGTGTTCTGCTCCAGCAGCCCCTTGATGTCCAACGCCTCCGCCACTCGCCGGCTGAGCCCAAACACACCGCCCTCCCCCGCGACCCCTTCGCTTTCCGCCGCCTCAGCAGCCGACACGCTTGTGGCACTTTCCCCCGGCGGCGGCGGTGGCGATGAGGAGACGGCCATCCCCTGTTGATCCCGTCCTATTTCGTTCATCGCATCGAGCTCCTTGTTGATGTCGTCCGCGGCCTGCTTGTTCCCGAGCTGGCGGAGGAACCGCAGCCACCCCCACCGGAAGTACTGGAGCACGGCCGGCACGGGGGGGGGGGGTCAGCGATATCGCCTGTACGGGGTACACCTACCTCGCTCACAGCGAAATAATACTTCAGACAAGGAACGCACGGTACTATACTACTATACTGTAGACAAGGAACGCACTCCCGACAGATGAGCGCCGATCGTTCGCTGGTGCCAAAGGGTGTCGTCAGAGGAGGACTCAAATCATACCAATTGGTGCATGTAACCTCTCGGACTGGTACCAGAGCCGAAAACGATCAAACATCATTTCATAGCGTAGCATCACCCTTCAGCTGCCCTCCCTCGCAGTCTCTCAGTGCACGAGGCAAGCTGCACTAGGCTACACAGCACGCAACGCCGCTCCATTGAGGCTGCCGGCAAACTGACGGCAAACGTATCGCATCATCGGTGTCTCACCAAGAAAACAACGTTGTGTAAAGGAGGGAAGGGCATGCCATGTATCGCCAACCAAAACAATCTAACCCACGTCCCGCTACACCTCAACAATCTACCACGCCTCTCCACATCCGCACCTCCATCCCAAACAGCAGCTGTTCGTGCGCTATCTCCTCCTCCCGCCGATCGTTCTTCCCCTTGCCATCCCCCTCCAAGTCGGCCGGTTTCTCGAGCCTTGTGAGGACGTCGACCTTCCCACTGTCCACAGCTGTAACCCCCGCGTATCGCGGGTCTAGGGCTCGAACGGTCGCAGCGGCCGACTGTGCGCTGGCTCCGGCCGGCAAGTGCGAGACGGCATGGACAACCTGCTCAAGAAACGTCCCAACGTGGGGTGGAAAAACAAGCGCCATGCCGCACAACGGACAAAAGAATGTCGACCGAGATAAAACCCTGCGCCCGATTGTTTCGGTCGAGCTATCCACGTTGTAGACAAAGGATGTGAATGCCGGTGCCATCATAGCAATAGAAAGCAGGACCGCCGCCGTGATACTATCTTGAGATAAACAGAGCGGCGGAAGCAGTACCGTTGTTGTCATGTCAAGGAAAGCATCGCTAAAAGCAGCACACCGTTCCAGGCAAAGTCACTCTCGAGAAGGCGGGTATGCCAATGCCAACCGATATCCAGCATAGCCTACCAACAAGGCTACTGACACCACCCTCCTTCCGGCGCGCTGGGGGCGGGGGGGTCGTGACGTATGTATGTCGACAAAACGATCATACTATAAGCAGAGGTTATCTTAGTCTTACGTCCGGCGGAAGGTCATCGCCGAAGTACGCCGCCAAGTACTGCTCCGTCTCAGCAGCGGCGGGGGCGTGTCCAAGAGTGTGCAGGCCCTCGCTGAACAGCCTCTGCTCCAGAGTCTGGAGGTACTCCGACAGCTCGCGCGCGTATTCCATGAACAACCTCCGCGTCCTGCCGCAAGACGAAAGAAAAATAGAGAGACGGGGGAGGGGGGGGGGGGGGGGGTACCGGGGAGGTGCGAGGTTTGTCATTAGAAGGGCTAGGTGTGAAAGACGGTGGTGGTGTTGGCGTGGTAGGCAGGGTGGTCGTTACTGTCGCTCATGGGCGGAAGTCACAGTACAGACACGAAGGCGGATGAGGGAGGGCGTATGGCCATGCCAGCCGTGGCTCTTACAGGCATGGCCGGAGAAAGAGAGAGAGAGAAAAGGGGAG